CGTGTGATTGCAAAGTTACTGTGCAAGTGAATAAGGCATTTCAATTTCACAAATCTAATTCCTTACAGCGTAGCTTAACGCTCGCCAAATTACAAAAAGATTTTCACAGTAGGCAATTATTTATTGAAAATTTGAAACGAATGAGGGCCACAAAATGAAATTCGAAGTGGTAATGTGCACCTCCAACTACCTGACATTTCGTCTGCTAATGGCTAATAGCTGTTGTTGTTGTTTTCCTACAATGTTTGSTCGTTAAGTTCGCACAGCTGCTGCGCTCTAACTGTTTTGTGCAATTAGTAGAGTTTATACTTTTGTTATAACTTATATGGATTGGTTGAATCCACTTAGGACTAGTGGTGCAATAAAGTACATTTAAAAAGTAAGAGTTCTGGTGATAAAATGAATTCATACACGTAAATGGTAATTAGTACTTCACAATKTATAGCTTTCCAGTGAAGCTTTTGCATCTATTGTCGCCAAAGAAATCTACAAATTCTACGGCAATATTTCACTTATTAAGTCTATTTTTCTCACTCTCTCAAATATATATGTGTAATATTTGGCTCTTTAGCTATGTCTGTATATCATAGGAGTGTGCTCAAGATATTGCAGACAAATTTCGTTGGATAGAAAAAACTAGAGATAGCATGGAGTTTAATACTGATTGCATAAATTTAGTCTAACTCTAAGGGGGCGGGATGTTTATTTTTGTTCATCAGCGCTTTTATTTATTCTCACTGAATTCGTTTGAAGATTATTTCCTCAAAAGAAACGCTTTTGTTTCGGTGTGGCTCCGTGATATATTCAGGCAATTTACGCAAACATATGTATGTGCGGCTTTTGAGCAGTGCTTGTAGATAAACAAAAAGCGCTAGCACGATAATTTACAAAACACATCGTTCAGCTGGCTATTTACAAGTACGAGTATATGAGCAAATCTATTCATTGAATGTAAAACAGAACGGAGTAAATTCATTCAAGAATTTGTTGCGAACATACACAGTTACACACATACTGACATGTACATACATACATATCTTTATGTAAGCATACTTGTAGGCATACATACACATGCATAACTCAATGGGTCTTTATATTCAACATTCGAAGAAAAGTATTACAAAAGGCATGTTTTGTCGAAATGGAATTGTGCTCGCAGAAGAAAGAGAAATTAAAGAACAGCACAACGGATGAGAACACAGCAATGACTTCGAATGGGTTCCAATGCCAGAGGCTTGCAAATAAGTTTCTTAGAGTGCATAAATGAATAGTAATTCGGATTTGATTTGATTGGATTACTTAGTTCCGTTGCTGGTATTTGCGGAGGAATTTCAAAATTTTTATTTTTAGAATTCTGGGGAAATCCACTCACCGGGAGACTTCTTTAGTTTAGTACCACAGCATGTTCAAAAGGTTTGCATACTTAAATCGGATATTCAATACCGGATCAGCTCTTATATATATATGACAAAATGTTTTAAATTTTAAGAAGATTTCACATTTCCTTAATTTTACTTGCACACAGGTCTACTATAATATAAAGTACATGCATGTGTCCATAAGTATAGCATACATTCGCATATTACTTAGGTGTACCTATCGTGTATGAATGGTATATCTAAACAAGTGTGTCTACTACACAAAGCTCTTCTCTGTCTATGAACCACAAACAGGACGGCGGTTGATACCAAAATATTTCTGTAAAACTTTGAGACTTTATAGTTTTTGTCTGCAGTTTCAATTTGGGTCTAGTTGAACGAAAAAAAAGACAATATATAAATATGTGGTACTTTTATATACATAAGTATGTACGTATGTAAACACGCTAACATACATTCACGCGAAAAATTTTGTCCGCGGCATTTAAAGAAGCAAATAAACAGAATAAGCAAGGAAAAAGTCGGTTAAAGTTTAAAAGAAGATGGGTCGATGTAAGTTAGGGATAAACGGAGTATTAGAAACTCTCGGTAGCTCCCAAATTTTCAATAGTAGGGATTGCTAAAACATGCCAAAGCATTTCGCTTATTATGCTATGATCCAGCCTAGCTTGGGTTAAGCTAGGAATCTCACATAGATAGATATTTGTGCTTTGTGTTACAAAGAAAACTCCTTAAGTGCACAACCTGGTGGAGCCTGCTCAGCTCACCACAAATTTGTTAAGGCGGTTAATTACAACCTCAGCTACTGGCTACGCTCTACAAAGGTGTGTCGATTTAATCTCACGCTAGCAAAACAAAGTGACAAGATGACTTCAACTTGCCTTCCTTTACACAACTTTGGAAAAGAGCGCCTGACGCGTCTGAGAGCGGCTTAGAGACGATGTATTGGTTTGAAAGCAATAAACTTTATTTGGTACAGATCACCAGATAGAAGACTAAATCTCTTACCCTCTCTCTTACTTTCGATCCATCCGTGGAAAAGCCTAATTTTAATTTGACAACATTGAAAAATATGTATGATCGATAGTTTAGATATTCTGAAATATTTCTTGTAAAGAATTTTTCAAAATTCAAATTATTTCACAAGTTAAAGCAGTTTTAGTGTCATGTCAACTGGACTGGTGTAAGCTGTGGACGAAATTTTCTATAAAACAAGTTTTTCTCGAAAATAATTTTTTTGGTGCTTATAATATATTTCATACCAAAATTATCGCACGAATATTCTTTCAATATCGCTTTGTCATATGAAAGAATTAAAAACGAAAAATTGAAGTATGTATTATTTAAGAAAAAAGAAATAAAAATAAATTTAGTTTTGAGTAGCCGCCATTTTATCAAAAAATTTTTTTTCAGTTTTGCATTAAATCAAATTTTTATTGTCTTATTAAATTCTAAAAGCCGGTTGAAGTYGGTTTGCAATATTTCTCGAGAACTAYTCAACTGCCATTCATGAAATTTTACACTGGTCTGTGAGATACAATTCTTAAAGGCTTGGGAGAAGAATTGTTTTCGACTCAAATTGTTTGAAAAAAAAAAAAACAATTGATCAAGTTTTTTTCTTTTGTCCATTTTCTAAGTTAACGTTTTAACTAAAACACGTATTTTTTCACTTTATATGATCCTRTAAGTAGTTATCCTGCCAAAGCGGGCGCATCTTTTTTCCGAGGGGTCACCGCAAATTTCGTCACAATGACCGAGTTWAAGATAATTTTTTCTACAAATTCTAAAGATTAAAATCAACAAAGATAGTGTATGTTTGTCGCAATAAAAAATTCTAATAAAATAAGCTGTTTTTATCCGATGCAACTCATTTAACATTTTCAAGATAATAAAGTCAATAAGTATCAATCAAGAATTCATTGCTGTCTTATTTTTAGGTGATCACTAACGTGAATTTACTCTATATGGTTGGTTCTTAGTCGAACTACCCCAACTCCAATTTTTGTTCTTCTAGCAAACCTTATATATAATATAAATAAACAAATAGCTTGGAAACTGTTACCAAAAATAGTTTTTTGTGTTTTTATTTTGTTTTTTTTTATCAATTTCCACAAAATTCGGGCCTCTAGTATGGATTACCCCTTAACCTTCAAGCCGCCTTACAAAAMTCAGTAAACATTTTTAAGCCATTTTGTTTAATGGTGGCATTATAATTTTTGCCCGCAGCCATATAGCGAAGTTAAATAATCGCTTTACCTCCCATACCTTACAGCACTATGAGCTTTCTTCATTTCATTATAATTTTAATAGAATGTTTCTTTAATTGTTACCCTCTGGATGAATTGTGAAAATAAGGTAAAGGAATTTGACTTACCCAACATGCGTATAATGGCTTTGCGTGTCTGCTGATGTCGAGATTCCTGGTGCATAGAGCCCTGTTGAACGCCTGCAGAAAGGAAAGAAATAAAAACAAGGGTTAATATACCGTTAAGGTGCTTCTAAGGTGGGACATGATTTGATACAGTTTTATCCTCACAATAGTGTGGCCCTAAGCAAATCTAAAGGTTTGAGCAATAATAGAGTTAAATCACTGACCGGGCATAAAAAAGAAATGTAAATATAAATATTGGCAGCTAGGGTACTGCCCATGCTTATCCTAGCACAACATCTTCTTTATAAGCTCATCAAGTAAGCCTTCCTTACGATGTAACGTGCATACAGGCTTCAASTCTATCAAATTATAATACCGAAACGCTTACTCACCCAACTGCAGTGTCGTGCTGAAACGTATCTGTGCGCCCATCTTGCCATACAAGATGATTATCAGCAGCATCGGTATGACGAAGAAGAAGCAAAACGAGATATCGAACAGTGGAAACTCTTCAGGGTAGTGCGACATTCTGCAGAACGCGGACTCCGGTATTGTCGTCTCAGATGCTCGAAGCAAAAAAAGGAAAGCAAAAAGTTTTAATTATATTATAATTATGTTGAAAGTTAAATGCCCAAAATACTATATTTTCGAAATGGAATTGAAATTCTCCAATTAACCATAAAACGGCTTAATATAAACTGGTGCAAATATTTATGGAATGCCGTGACTATCAGTGTGATGTAGTTTTCCAACATTTTTCACGCACAAATAAATTATATGCTTACTTAAGGGATAATTCATGTATTGAATGTCCGTCAGCACTACAAGCTGAGAATCCAAAGAAGCTTCAAAAAATCGATTTTTTTTAGGATCTTTTGAGAGGAAAAGAAATATTTGATTAAAGGGTTCATATTTATATATTTTAGCATCATTCACAAATACAAAATCTTTGATAATCTGCCTTTGGGAAGCAATTACTGATGCATCTCGCATGTATATTTGTCGGATGGCAGGTCGCAATTTCTATCGGAAACAAAAAATTCAAAGAGATTCATATTTCTTAATAATTTATCTTCTAGTTAAACTAAAAAAAAATTCTAAAAAAGAGTGCAAAATTTTACACATTTTTAAAAATTGAAAAAAGTGGTTTTTGACCAAAAAAATTTGTTTTTAAGTTGTTTAAAAACATGTTCAAACTTGACATTTCTTAGTTTTCTTTAGTTTAAATAGAAGATAATTTAATGCCAAAGATAAAAAACTTTGCCCCAATTCCATACGCTGGAAAATCGCAAAAATCAATAACCGAGAAATTGCGGTCATTACTTCCCTTCTAGCTTCGAAAATATTTCGAATTCCCATCTATAACTTTGGGGACATATTCCTAGATATTTTGTGAAGAGATTTAAACAAAAAACATTCGATTTTTTTAAACTTCTAAAGCAGGCTCACACCTTAAAGCCGCCCATCGCGATCAAATGCAGGGGGTGGCCAATGGCGCGGAAGCGCTCCATGGAGAAGGTGACGATGGTGAGTTGTCGATGGAAATACAGTAATATTTATTACAATAACAATAATGATGGTAAGTGTATTACAATGCAATGAAAGACATCAGAAAATAATAGTTTTAAGTTTCTGTAGTAATAATTTGCATACAGAATACGATGCCGCAGGCGGACATTTAACATTCATCGGCAATAATGTTTCACTGATAATACCAAAGGCTGCTACTTACGATTCTTAGATGAACGGGCGTATCTTTCAGAAGGGTAGTCCAAACAGGTAGGGATATTGGTGCCAGTAGAGGAATATTTTTTCGGGCAAGCCTGGAAGGAAACAAAAAATTAAAGTTTTCTGTAAAGTTCCTCTGCTACGTAATTTATGATATTTTTATCAATTATTAAAGCTCGATAAATGTTCATACAAGTCAATGCGTAAATTTAAATAATACCYAACATTTTACAACTTTAGCTGTTTTAACTCTCGCGTAAGTATGTACCTACATGTATCATTCGTTCATTTTGGAAAGTTTTCACATAAATTATGCTCACACTGGCGTTGCCAACACAATTCAATAAATTAAATCAGTAAAAAATTATAAAAACAATAAATGTCTCAACTCAACGTATAAAAATAAAAAATGTAAATTTTGTGGTTTTTGAATATTTTGATTAGTTTATGCTTACCAGCTGGCTTTCCCTTATGTCACATGGTTTAATGGTTTCATGAAAACTTATAGTATGAAGTATAAACCATTCAGTATACATTTGAAGCTTGAAGTTAGATGTTCTAATATATACTTATGTCACGAGGGATCCAAGTAGATGTACTTTTTTCAATAGCCTCTAAGCGAAGCCAGGTCCTTCTTCACCTGGTCCCTCCAACGGAGTGGAGGCCTTCTTCTTTCTTTGTTT